GCAGTGAGGCTGCATCTCTGTCACTATTGTAAAGCCGTGTTTCTTAAACTTTTTAAGACCGAGGAACACCAAACAGTATATTTTTTCTATGTAGAACACCAAGGATTTTTTGTTGAGGAAAAGAAAAAAAAAGCCTGGGGGAAAGTTATTGAGCAAAAAAAGAAAAACCTTAACCTTAACCCTTGCAGAAGAAATAACAGTAGTTCGAATTAGGAGCTTTAATTCAAACTACCTAGTCATGCCGCATGTAGCCGCGGGCAGGTAGTTCGAAGTACGGGGCATTTAAAAATGGCGCCCGCCTGGGAACATGCAAATGAAGCCCGGGATATTTAAATCTCAGGCTTCATTTGCAAGTTCGAATGCCTACATTAACCACCCTAGTTTGAACTAGGGTGGCAGTGTAGACAAACCCTAAGACTGTTATTAGGGGTCCTTTCGCAGTGAAAAGGATTCCATGGCCAAATAAAGTTGGGAAACACTGCACTAAGGGCATGTTTGCGCTGCATAGGAGAGCCTTCCAGCAACCACCGGCAGCTGGCACTGTTATTAGGGGTCCTTTCGCAGTGAAAAGGATTCCATGGCCAAATAAAATTGGGAAACACTGCACTAAGGGCATGTTTGCGCTGCATAGGAGAGCCTTCCAGCAACCACCGGCAGCTGGCTCCCCCACCCAGCCCCCCCCGTCCTTCTCTCCCAGCACCTCCCAGCTATTGCCATCAGCTCTTCTGCCATGTGCCAGAGCTGCTAAGCTGTTGGCCCCATCATGACCCAGCTGCAGCTCCACTCCTGGCCCCTGTGGCCATGTTCCTGGTCTAGGGCCATGGCCAGGGACAGGGCTGGGAGCAGAGCTGAACTTGGCCGAGGCCTGGCCCCCACTGCAGCTCTACTCCCGCTCCAGCCCAGGTCCTGTTCCTGGTCTCTATGTAGAACACCCAGGATTTTTTGTTGAGGGGAAAAAAAATCCTGGGGGAAAGCCCCGCTCTCAACCCCAGAGGGTATGGGACATGGATAGGGACAAGGGGGGTGACTCTCAACGCTTTGGGGACCAGCCCACCTGACACACAGTTTGCAGGCTCCAGGGTTTTGCAGGCCACTGGCTGAAACCCACCAGGACTCAGTAAGCGGCTAGAGGTCCTGCCTGGGACACACGGTCTGTACAGCTTTTTGTGATGCACTGGCACGACCCCATCAGCCCCAGCCTGGGGAATGCAGCAGGGGGCTCCTCCCTAGATGCTCCGTAGCCTCACCCACAACGATGCTGAGCCTCCAGCTCCCAGGGCACTGGTAACCCCGTAACCCCCTCCTGGCTACGGAACTTCATGTGCACCCTCCAGCCACGGGATACGGGACAATCGTGCTCCCTAGTCCAGCTTCCTCGGGGCCTGAACCAGGGAATCTGCTGGCCCAGGGGAGGTCAACACCGACCCCTCCGCTGCTGCCAGCTGGGAGGTTTTTCTGCGGCAGCAGCAAAGGGGCGAGTGTGACAGACCGGGCTGCGTCTGGGCACCACTGAGGACGTCTGCTTAGGGCGAATTGCTCAAACTCAGGGCTCCTTACAGCCCCGGACTGGAGACCTTCCCAAATAGGCCACAAACCAGTCGCACCGAGCGCTTCAGCTGCCTGCCTGAAGCCTCACGAGCAAAACCCCTCCGACACCCGACCCCCCCGCAGCTCTCCCTGTGCCCCAATCAGCCCCAGGCCTGCACACAGATGAGGGGTTAAACAACCCAATCTCTCCTACCCTGAAACGGGTTCTTCCAGTCCCAAGAAACCAGCCACAGTTCCCAGCCAAGTTACACTCTGGATCTTACCCACAAGATCACGCTGGGCCGATCCTTTAGCATCTACAATCTAAAGGTTTGTTACTAAAAGTGAGTGAGGTTGTTAAGGAGAATACGTCACATGCATCGAATCACCCAGTTCTCGATACAGGCTCTTAGCAGAGATGTTACAAACGACTATCTTAAAAGTCTCTGGTCTACATCCTAGGTCAGGACGGGTTCTTCCCGGCTCATTGTTCCCTGCAAGGCTGCATCTGGGATCAGGAGCGGAACTCAAGGTAAGATGGAGATTGCCACATGGCACTTATATACCTCTCCTGGCATCCTCCTCCCCAGCACAGGTCACAGGGTTCAGGGATCTATCCTTGTTTCACATGCTTGCAGCCATTATGCCCTGGCCGGTTTGCAAGTCACCAGACACATTCCTTCAGGTGTGTCTCTAGCACTTGGAGACCTACTGTCCATAGAGCCTCACTAATTAGCATAGCTAATTGAACGAACTTTCCTGGCCCATTGCTCTGCCTGAGGCAGAGAATTTTCCACCATTTCCCCAGAGTCCATATTTATAACTCCACATACAGATATTATACATGAATAGCATGTAGAGAATCGGTAGAACACAAGGGCTGTGTCTAAACTACATCGCTCCATCGATGGAGCCTTGTAGATGAGGGTTGTAGGCAAAGGGAAATGAAGCCGCGAATTAAATAATCGCGGCTTCATTTAAATTTACATGGCTGCCGCGCTGAGCTGACAAACAGCTGATC